ACTTATCGGAAAGATCCTACGGACTTATCGGAAAGACCCTACGGACTTATCGGAAAGATCCTACGGACTTATCGGAAAGATCCTACGGACTTATCGGAAAGATCCTACGGACTTATCGGAAAGACTCTGCGGACTTATCGGAAAGACCCTACGGAAAAAACCACACTACTTTTCGGAAAAAACCTCACTACTTTTCGGAATTTAAACCTCACTACTTTTCGGAATTTAAACCTCACTACTTTTCGGAAAGACCCTACGGATTTTGGAAATACCCTACGTACTTTTTAGAAATATTTTACGATCTTATCTTATCCTTTCAAGTATGCGCGTGTTCTGGGCTAAAATTCAAAGTCGATTTTTTCGAAAACAAAGCCTGTAACGAAAAATTCTTACTGTATATTTGCGATCTTTCTGTTTATGTAGAATTACTCTCTTTACGCTTGCTTGTATCACCAGTTACAGATCACTCTGTATAAAGATATATCTCATACTTTGGTATCTAATTTGTTGCGACTAACTATTGTATTTAAATAATTAAAGTATTAATTATTAAAAATAGTGAAAGAATAATTAGATGAGAAAATGAAATAGAAGAATTATTATTATTATAAATGTTATTTTTATTTTTTTAAATTAGAATTGATTTAGCAAATTGAACCGAAATTAAAAAAAAAAAATTAAGGAATGTTGGTGCTTGTAGAGAGTAAAAAAATAGAGAAAATAATGGAGAAAGAAAAGATAGAATAAATAGAAAAGAAAGAAAGAAAGAAAGAAAGAAAGAAAGAAAGAAAGAAAGGAAAGAAAAAAAGAAAACTAGTGATAGATAGAGACAATGATAAAAGAGGCCAATCATTTCCGAGCGAATTCTCTCTCTAATCTTTTCCCTTTTTTTTTTTTTTAAAGGCGTCAATATGTCTCTCTCTCTCTCTCTCTCTCTCTCTTTCTCTCTCTTTCTCACTTATTTTATATAGTTTTTTCTTCTTTTTTCTTATTCTTCCATTCTTTCTTTCCATTCTTTCTTTCGTGTCTCGCTTCGTTCCACGAAGATACGAGATTATGCAAATTTATGCGAAGCTTCGTGCGGACGGGCAAACCGAGAGAGGATAAAACTACGTGATCGTTGTGCGCTCGATTACGTTACCTAACAATACTTAAATGAAAAAAAGAAAAAAAAAGAAAAAAAGAGAAAAAAAGAGAAAAGAAGAGAGAAAAAAGTGAGAAAGTCAAAATCAAAGAAAAAAGATGAAAAGACGTACCTAAAATGTTACAAATGTAAGTTAAAGTGTCCTTAATTAAACACCTATCTGAGAATTCTCTTAATTTTGCTTTTGAAAGAAATCAAGGTCAAGGAAATGAAAGATTAAAGAAAGAAAATGGTATAACCAAGTGAAAATGAATTAATTCATGACGTAACTAAAGTGTTTAAATCTCTCGCAGAATCTTAAAGTAGGTTGTTCCTTTAGAAAGGGTAAAAGACAGTTGTAAGGTTGTCTCTCTTTCTCTCTTTCTGAGAGTTGACTGGTTATTCAAAACGTAATAAGAAGAAAAGTGAAAAGGGAAGCAATCTCAATGATGACAATCGTTGTTAAAGATTTATTATACTAACCCTTATTAAATAGACGTGGCAAGATTTTTATAATGTTCCTTCTTTTTTTTTTTTTTTTTTTTAATCTTACACGAATGATAAGAAGAAAAAAATATAATTCATGGTGTTTTACGTAGTAAGCTTTATTAATAAATAATTATTATATATTATTATTAAATATTAATAATATTATTAAATAATAAAAATATAAAATAAAAATAATGTATAAATTGAATTATCAAATTAAATTATATATAAATTAATGTAAATTTTAAATTAGAAAAAAAAATAAAACTATATATATATA